CGGCCCCACCCCGGCCTGGCCTGCCCCATGCCTCTCTCAGTGTGTCAGGTGAGAGGCACCTTTGAGTTCTCCATTCCAGTGACCAAGGTGGACCGGTGAGGGCCGTGATGGCCAGGGGCTGACTCTGGTCAAAGCCAGGCATTGTGAGGCTCCCCGCCGGCCCCTCCTCATCCTCAGGAGGCCCTGAGGCCTCTAAGAGGGTGGGGGAGGAGGGTGCCGTGGACGGCGGGACCGTGGCAGGGAAGGGCTGGGTGCGGGCGCCGAGGTCCTCAGGAGCTGCGTTAGTCTTAATGCTGAGCCAAGCATTGCTTTTATGAAGCCGGGAATCAAATCTCTCAGCTTTGGGCTGTAATTAGGTTAAGAGCATGGTCTCCTAGGGCCGCCACAACTCCCGGAAGTGGTGATGAGCTGTGTTAGGCCCGCGGGGAGTGAAGCGATGGGATCAGCTCGCTGTGATTTAATATGTAGAACCCGCGAGTCCACGTCAGGGGTTCAGGGGTGAGAAGACACCAGAGAGACACTCGGTGGTGGGGAGAAGAGCAACGGGTTCTCTGGGATGGAATTAAGAAAAGAGCAAACCAAAAATGACTGGTTCACCCTTTCTAACACAGCCATCCGCATACGCATATATAAAATCCTATGCACATAAGAATGCGTGTATTCCTTGTTTTCCCCTGGAGTGAGTTTCTGAAGTCTTGCTAACTCGGATGCCCTCAGGGTAACGTCGGTGTGTGTGGCCTGTCCATCCGCCTCAGCCTCTAAGCCTCTACGGCCAACCACAATCCTGGTCCGGTGTAATCAGACCAGCAACTCTTTAGGAAAAGTTAGGATTGGTGGTTAACTATCCCAACTTTTAAGTCTTGGTGACCATTCGGGGGACCCATGAGACCAGCATGAAGGCTGCTGTCTGCAGTCTGGCTGATTGCTAACGCAGACCAGCCAGGGCCGCCCCATACGTGGCATGGGGAGGGACGCCGGCCTTGGCAGGCTGCGGTAACTGAAGACCCCGCCGTTCACCCCAGGCCGGCGGCTCTCACCCACCAGGCCCTCGGAGTATGCGTGTTTGATGTCCAGCGGGTGGATGCTTGACTGAACTATGCTAGAGAGAAGGAGGGAGAGAGGGAGGGAGGGAGGGAGGTAGGGAGGGGGGAAAGAAGGAAGGAAGGAAGGAAGGAAGGAAGGAAGGAAGGAAGGAAGGAAGGAAGGAAGGCAGGCAGGCAGGCAGGCAGGCAGGCCTGCGCGGGGGGGAGGGGGGGGCCTGGGAGGCAGGGGTCCTCCCGAACCCCGCTGGTGGCCGCACCGGGGCTCAGCCACCCGCAGCGCCTGCCCCAGAGCCCTGCTCTAACCCAGTCTTGCGGAGTCTCTCAGGGCCCGCCAGTCTACGCCTCCCATCTTGTCCCTCATACTTGATTTCCCTGTCGGGAAAATGGGGTGGCCGGGCCCCACCTGGGCCGGGAGACAGAAATGGCGAGAAGACTTGGGCAAGGCCGTGCGTGGGCAACGGGGCCCCAGAAAGGCCTTCAGCTCAGGGACGAACGCGCCGCCCTGCCCGCTGTGTCTGGCCGTCAACGCGGGGGCGAGGGGCCCTTCCAGGGGAGACGCGCCCCATCTCACTCAGCCCGTCCCTGGCCGGGGCGGTGCGGGCCTGCAGAGGGAACCGGGGCTCCCGGGGCCCACCGAGGCAGAGCGCTGAGACGGAGACGATGCTGGCCGCCTTCTTCCCCGCACAGAAATGGCGGCGCTTCCACCAGGGGCCACAGCCGGCCACGCCGCGAGAGCCCTCCCCGCCACGACTAAATAAACTTAACAAACGAACCGGCCGCCGTGCCAGGGCAAGCGGAGGCCCGAGGACCCCCCCCCCCAGGGCAAGCGCAGGCCCGAGGACCCCCCCCCCGCCCAGGGCAAGCGGAGGCCCGAGGACCCCCCCCCAGGGCAAGCGGAGGCCCGAGGACCCCCCCCCCTCCCAGGGCAAGCGCAGGCCCAAGGACCACCCCCCCCCCAGTACCCCATGGGCTGCGGCCGGGTCCTTCCTGAGAACCTTCCTGGGCGGGTCTGGAACTGACCACACCGGCCATTTGAGTATCTCACTGGACCCTCACCAGGCTGTCACCTGTTCTGGCCTTAGCGGTAGAAGATTCTAGATCAGGTCCTTCACCAGTCAAACCCACCTCACACTCCCCGTACTGCCAGCTCAAGACAGAGAACTCGGGTGTGTTCCGGGCCGGGCCTGAGGGCTGTGCCCCGCAGCGTGCGGTCTCTCCGGAACGGCCCATGGACACCGCATGTGGGCTGAGGTGCGGGTGGCAGGCTGCGTGTGCCGCGCTCAGCAAGTCGGTCATCCGGGAAGGACAGACGGAACGGGGCGGGCGGGCACTAGCTCTTAGCAGGCACCCATGCGAGAGGGTGGGGAGCCGCTCGGGACGCCGGAGAACACCCTGCCGCTTAGCGGCGGCGGAGCCCGGGACACGGAGGGCCCCCGGAGGGTCGCTCCTTTCAAGGCGGCGGCGGTGGCTGCGGGGCAATGGGAGAGGAGCCGAGTGGGAATCGGTGACGCTTCAGAGTGAGAAGCCGGCTGTGTCCACAGCCTGGCCTCTGCCCGGGAGAAGGACGCGAGTCCCACACTGGCTCCATCGCTGTCACCCCCAACGGCAACTCCCCATTCTCTCCTCGGTGGTGGTGGCACCGGGGCTTGAACTCGGGACCTCCGTCTGCTGGGCGGGTGCTCTGCCACTTGAGCCACACCCCTAGGCCTCTCTTGCTTCATGTTCAGACCTCAGTCCTTCCCCCTAGGACCCCCGGTGTAAACAGGATTGAAGGTGCGCACCATCCATCACCCCCAGCCTTCAACTTTCCCACCTTTATACCGACAAAGACTTCAGAACATGCCCACACTTAAATCTGTCCGTGATAGTAGGAGCTCGTGAAAGGGACTGGAATGTCCGGAGGAGGTAATTTTTTTAATGTCTAAAGGATAACGGCTAACTAGGCAGGAGAGGGAAGGACTGTGATGCGAGACTTCCTCCTCTGCTCAGCGGGAAAAGGGCCCGTCAGCCACTCACCCACGCTGGGACTGCAGCTTCTCCACGAGGATCTACCTTCCTCTCCCAGGCCTGTGTCCCCACCAGTCCTGGAGGGGGTTTGACACTGTGTGGTTCTGGCACCAGGATCAAATGTGCTGGTGTAACACGGCAAAGACGGAGTGGTGAGGGCCTTCTGAACACAGGTTCTGAGCCGGGCGCTGGTGGCTCACGCCTGTAATCCCAGCTGCCCAGGAGGCTGAGATCTGAGGATTATCGTTCAAAGCCAGCCTGGGCAGACCAGTCTGAGAGACTCTTTATCTCCAATGAACCAGCCAAAAACGGAGTCTGGAGGTATGGCTTACGTGGTAAGAGTGCCAGCTTTGAAAGAAAAAGGCCCAGCAAGAGCCCAAGGTCATGAGTTCAAACTCCAGTACCCACACGAAAGGCAAGAAGGGAAGAGCCACGCTTGGGGGCCCGTGGTTGGTTCCAGCGCTAGCTGGACTTTTCCTCCCTGTGTGTCTGCTGGGCAGTGGTCATTTCCCTGTCCCCGCAAGTACCGGGCGCAGAGCAGCACCGGCCCCACCAGGCGGGAGCCAGGAGACCCAGGTTGTTATGATTAGGGCGTGGGAAGCCCTCCGAGTGGTAAACGCAGCTGCTCAGTGAACGGCGGCTCTTGCCGTTACAAGGTACACGCTCCTCCAAGACGCTCCTGTGCACTTGTCTCTGAGGGGGGGCCTCAGGCTGTCCTGACGCTGGGGTTGGGGCCTCGGGACGGCCACCCCCCACCCCGGCTGCCCTCTGCCTCCTCCCAACACGCGCTCACCCGGTCCCCGCAGCCAGGAGGCGGGCTGGGGATGCCGGGCAGCGTGCCCACGCCGGGCCGGAGGCACAGGCTGGTAGGTAAGCACACTGTGAACACGCATGCACGCAGACCCCGCACACCACATCGGTACACGCAGGAATGGCGGTGAGGAATCTGTAAGGGATGTGGGGGGAGGCTGGACGGAGGACCGGTGTGTCCATAGCCGGGCATCGGCAGGCAGGGAGAGGCGCTGGCTGCCCAGGGCTGACCCTGGGGGTCTGAACTAGATGGGCAGACGGCTGGTGTGAGATCTCCGCATCCCACCTGCTCCCGGCTCACCTGGAGAGCTGAGGGAAGGGCTTGAGACGGGCGGCTCGGCGCGGAGGGCGGAACTGAGGCTCTCTTCCTTTTCAGGTCTTCCGTCTGTCTGACCCCGGCTCCCGTGGCCTCAGAGACCCCCAGGAAGGCCCCTTACGGCTCAGCATCTCTGAGGCCACAGACACGGCTTGCCGGGCTCACCGGGGAACTTCGGCTGAGACGCCTCCTCGGGGGACCCCTCCCCTGCGTCCGGCCTCCTCCATGCCTCCACTCGGTGACGCGAGGGAATGGTCCCGGGGGTGCACTGCTGCGTGAGGGGCACGCGGGGCCGGCTGCCCACGGCACCTTCCCAGGCCCCTGCCCTCTCCACCCGGCCGCCGGCCCCGGGAAGAGTTGGCGCTTGAGCACCCCACAGCCAATGCTCTGCCTTCTAGACCTACCAAGGTCCTTCCAGAATTCTCACACTCACGCTAGAAGCGCAGCGCCGACCTCCAAATGGTACTTGCCCTGCCGTTCTGTTCGAGACGCCATTCTACTTCGGGAACCAGAACTAAGGCACCCTCTGGCCCTCTGGGGAGACCCGATGTCCCATAGCTGGCCCACCTCACTGTCCATCTCCGCGGTGATGATGATTGCCAAGGACTGATCTTTTACCCGCGGGGCCAGGAGCCTTGGACCACCTCCGTGGACCCCCGGGCTGGCATGGCCAGCAGGGACCCCCGCTCTGAGCGGAGAGGGCTGCCCCGACCCCTCGGAAGTTCTCCTTGGCTGAGATGCCATCGCTAGATGCCGCGCTAAAGACCTAAGGGCCATGTGCCCGGGCCGAGCGCGCGGTTCTGTCTCCTTCCCGCGGAGGCTCCATGGCCCAGCCGAGCAGGAAGGTGAGGCCCGCGCTCCTCAAGCGGAACAGTCTGGAGTCAGTGGAGCCCACGAAGCCCCCGCAGCACCGCAGGAGCAAGTCCCAGCAGGTGCGCTTCAAGGAAGATGGCGCCCCGACGCACGCCCCCGGCCCGCCCCCTGCGGGCCCAGGGAAGACCCGAGCACCGCGGCACCAACACCCCTCCACCTGCCCCGCGGCCTTCCCCCGGGCCCAGAGGGCAGGGGGCTTCAGAAGCATCGCCATCCAGACCTCCCCAAATCTCAGGAAGCACTTCCCAGTTTTCAAGAGGAAGAAACTCACAGCCAGCAAGTCCCTGGTAGAAATGCCCACCGCGTCCTCAAGTGCCATCCGGGTCAACGGCGACCTCTCCCGACAGGACGTGGTGGCGGCCCCTGACCTCGCCTACTTAAAGCTGGCCCGGCGTCTGGCGGACGGGCCTGGAAGGCTGGCCGCGCCCCACCCCTTCCTCCCCAGGGCCTCCCCCGTGGTACAGAGCAACGGGCCTGTTGGCCTCTGCTTGCACGCTGGGACCTGGAGGGCCTCCGAGAGAGCGACGGCCGCCGCTCAGGTCCCCGATGATATTTGTCACAGCCCGTCCTGGAAAACCAGAGCATCTTCCTTCAGCCCAGACAGCTGGGTACCCACCGCGGTCGACGTGTGTCCAGGTGACGGGAGCAAGGAGCCCACGCTGGATTCGGGAAGACCCCCCGCCCACCTCGATGCCACCAGCAGTGCCCGCGACACCCCGGGCACAGAGACACACAACCCCAAACCGCTTTTGTCCAAAGACCACTTGTGCGAACAAGCCCCCGGCCTCCCGCCATCTCAGCTGGGGGAAGCACGCGTGCCCTCGCCCCCACGGACTCACGGCTGCCCTGAGCTGGACTCCCACGGCCGGCCGGCCCATCCCGGGAGAGCCCCGGACGGCCCCGCGTCGGGGGACAGCTGCCGGGACTCGGGGCCACCTGCAAGTCGCAGCACGGCCGCGTCTGCGTGCGCGTGTCAGGAGACCACGGCCAGGAGCCCCGCCCGGCCAGAGGCCCCGGAGCTTCCCGGCCTTCCCGGGAGCGGCACCAAACCTCAGATCCAGGGCAGGGAGAGGCGTGGCCCGGGCCACGTCCAGCCGGCACCAGCGGAGCTGTGTGACCTGCAGGGCCGGCTGCAGTCGGTAGAGGAGTCTCTCCACTCCAACCAAGAGAAGATCAAAGTCCTCCTGAACGTCATCCAAGACCTGGAGAAGGCCCGGGCGCTCACCGAAGGGTAAGGTGATGCTTGTTTAACTGCTGGTGGGGTCATTTCCCCGGGCAGACTGAGAAGGCGGGATTTCAGGAGGCAGCAGCTCAACAGGCTCCCGCCTCGTAAGCGACGGAGTGAGGGTCGCACCGGCCTAGGCTTTGATGGGCCCTGGGCTGGGCTGCCGGGGGTCAGCGGGCTGCAGGACCACCGAGGATTTGGGGATTTCTCTGCCAAGGAGTCCAGCGGGAGGAAGGGGCTGGCCCTGGGCTGCCAGGGTGGGAGAAAGGAGGAATGGTCGCCTGGCTTTGGCCGTTAGGGGTTCGAATCCCCGCTGCCTCTGACCGCATGCCAGGAAAGGGGGGCGCTGGGCGGCAGCATCACGCTGGGGCTGCCTGCGGCGGCTCGGGAAAGCCGGGCAAGGGGCCTTATGTTTGATACTGGACGAGGTCACCACCCCCCCGTGCTTTCTCGCCCCCTCGCCGGAAAGGTCCGGAAAGGTCTGTGCTGCAACCTGCGTGCAGTGGACCCTGGGCTGAGAGGGGACGGGAGAGGCGCGTGAGGGCGGGGATCTCCTGGGCCGCGGCCGCAGCCTCTCAGCACACGCTGTCTTCCAGGCGCAACTTTTATCGCACCGGCCAGGACCTCAACAACTGCAGCACCTGTCAGAACACGGCGTGCATCATCTACAGGTACGGCCCGGCCTGCTCCCCCCCCCACCCCCCGCATGCTGTGCTGTGCGTGGAACACTCTAGCAGTTCACCCACAACGGAGAGGCAAAGACGCGGGGCCTGAGAGTTAAAGAACAAGGCCCCAGAACGTGGACGTGTGGATCTGGCCCTCCACTTTCGGGGAAGTCCGGCCCGTTCCCCGCTAGGGTGGTGAGCTTCCCCGAGAGCAGGCGTGGCGGGGGTCAGGACTTGCATCCAGATCTCTCCACTCCAAAACTCCGTTCCCTCCCCACCCAGCCCCTGCCTGCTCGGTAGCTTTCCCGAGCCCCACCCCTCCTGCGTGGGAAGAGCTGTGCTACAGCACCGGTAATCCCGGCTCACTGCACCGCTGCCTTCCCGCACAGGGCAGTGGGAGCCCCGAACACAGCTCAGCGAGGAGGGTCGCGTCCCTCGGTGTCCTGTCTGTAGTCGGAGGGGGGGCCCAGACTCAGAGACACCACAGGAGCCGATGCTCAGTGCGTGAGTGCCTCTGGTGACGGCACGGGAGCGTGCAAACCCACAAGCTCACCGCCGCCGGGGACGACGCGGATGTGTGCTTCAGTGGATCCCACGCAACTCCCCTCGACCCAAGGGCGGAGTCTTGCTTTCCCCGTTACCGGTGTCTTTCTCAGCCCGGGGCTGGGACCCGGGCGCCCGCTGGGTTGCCTGATCTTCTCCTAGCCATGTCTCATGCTCTCAGTCAGCGTTCTGAGATTTCACCCCGCAGAAGGGACCAGGCACATGGGAACAGGGGAGGTGCTCGCTGAGCAGTCTGCTCTTAGACGGGAAGAGCCGCAGGAACACTGTCACCACACACACACAGACACACACACACACACACACACACACAGACACACAGACACACAGACACACACACACACACACACAGACACACAGACACACACACACACACACACACACACACACACACAGTTCCTTCACCAACACAAACCAACAACGTGTGCCAAGTCCCCCTTGAGATCGGAGCACACTCTCACCAGTGCTCACCTTCACTTTTCCCGCTCCTTCTATTTATGGCTTCTATCTTAAGCAAATTTCCTAAGCACACAGAGGATGGAAATTAAACATCTAGACGGCCAGGGAGGACAAAAGAAACCATTCCTCCTGAATTGTTTAGGTAACCTGCGCTGATGTTACCGACTCTCTTCAAGTAGCCAGATGAGGGATGTTCTATGACCAGAAAGCCATCTTATTATTTTTAAAGATTGGCTAAGGTAAGTAAAAAGGCCCGGGGACCAGGCCTGGGGAGAGCGGCTTCTGCCCTCAGAGAGTCCTCTCGTTTGAAAAGCGCCAGCCTTTAACGAAACGATCCCGGTGGGGCCGGGCGGCCCCGACATTCCACTGTTCCCAGCGGCGTCGACAGCCATGGTGAGTGGCTACGCGGTGGCCGCCCACCGCGTCTGAGGAGGTCTGCGCCCTTCTGCCACTTCCTCCCAAGGGCCAAGCAAACATCCTCCGGGAGCCGCACCCCGGGGTGGACGGCCACGCTGCCCGCGCACCTCCCTCTGCAAACCACCCCGTGCCGCGTGCACGCCGCCGTGCCCGTGTTCACATCTCTGAAGCGGTGGGGAAGAGCAGGGCCGTGAACTCCGTGAGCGGCGTGGGAAGAGATCAGGACAATCCATCAGAGCCACAGGGGGAAGACGAGAGGGTCTTTTTCGTTTTGTAACATTTCAAATGACTTCAAACTCGTCTCGTGTCCTGGCGAGTCAGATCTCTGAAGTCAACAGGGGCGTGAAGCGAAGCTGCTGCCCTCCGGCCTCCCTCCCTGCTGGCCGCGGTGGACGGGCTCTGGGCACGTCTCTGGTCATCAAGCACGCGGGCGCGTGATGGAGGCCCCCGGGCCCGCGGCCCCGCGATCGCGGCCGAGCGGCTTTCCCACAGGTCCCGGCAGCCGAGGCCGTGCGGCTCCTCGGCCCACAGCCAGCCGCCGCCCCTGTAGACGCCCTGTAGACCAGGACCTGAAGACCGTGTGCCTGGCACTCGGGGCCCCCAGACTCTACCGAGTGTTCAACATTTGTTGTTGTTGTTGTTGTTGTTGTTTAACTTTTCATTCATTTTTGTTCCTATCCTGCGATTTGAACTCTTCCAGGCGCTGTTCTTCGAGTTCTTTTGCTCAGGACTAGCACTCTACCACTTGAGTCGCAGCTCCACTTCTGGCTTTTTGAGGTTCATGAGAGATAAGAGTCTCTGGGACTCTTCCTGCCCCGGCTGGCTTTGAACCCGCGATCCTCAGATCTCAGCCTCCTGAGTCGCCCAGAGGGTGTCTACTCATTTGTATTTTCTTAAACTGAATCTCAAGAAAGGAGGGAGGGCTGGGCTCTAAACCTCGCCTGAGCCTGAGCTCCGGCTCCCTCTCCTCCTTCCTGCTCTGTTTTAATCCAAAGGTGGAAGGAAGGACACTGTTACCCAAGACTCACATTCACGTCCGTTATCTAGAGGGTTCTGTGTCGGGGGCTGGAGCATCCCCTGCCCTCCTATCTCCGGCTGGCTATCCTAGATCTTTGCCAAGGGAGGGCGGGTCTCGGGTTTCTGGCCACAAGCCAGCGCCGTACCCAGTCGGAATGCATTCGTTTTTAACGTTGTTAGTGACGCCCTTGACTTGTAAAATGAATCCTCCTCGATATCCATGCTAAGTGATGCAGATCACGGCCTGTTTTTAAAGAATTGCTTCTTATGTTTAAAAAGCGGGCAGAAAGGAGGGAGAGGGAGGGAGGCTTGTTTTGGGAGTAAGTGCATCTTCTAGTGCCCCGTTTCCCAAAAGAAAACCATGCTCCCTCCCTCCCTTCCTCCCTCCCTCTCTCTCCCCTTCACCCTCTCCCCCCCTTCCCCTCTCTCCCATCATGCACCGCTCAGGGCTCCGTGGGAAGCCTTCCCTTCGGTCCCTCCCTGGGCCTCATCTGAGATCAGGACTAATTGGCAATCCGGGCTGACATTTCTCCTTGGGAGAAACTTGCTAAGAGCAATTAAAGTCCAGTCTGTTCTCCAGCCAGGAACCCGGATGCCGGGCACCGTCCCCCGGGCAGGCTCTGAAGGAGCCCCGCTAGTGCCTGACCGGCTGGCCCTGTCCGCCTGGCCCCCTCAGAGGGGGTGCGGGGCACCCCAGGCTTCCAGGGACAGGACCGAAGCGGAGACCCTCTCACCCATGCGCCCATCTCCTCAAACTCCAGACCACAAATTGGCTCCTTGCCGCTTCCTAGCCAAACCGGTTAAAAGGCTTCCGAACCAGACTGAGAGGAACGAGGCGGGACCGAGAGGGAGATTCGCCGCAGGAGCTCCGCGCACCCAGTGCCTCCCGTCCGACCCGCCGGGCCTCGATGCCACCAGGCCTTCCTCGATTTGGCTCCTCTGGTTTAGCTCTCTGGCTGTTGGGGTTTGGCTTTGTCGGATGCTTAAAGCTATTACCTGACCAGAGACATTTCTCTAGAACTTGCAATGCGCCCTCAGACCTGTGGGTCTAGCAACCAACTTTTCGCTTAAATTATTTAGTATTTTTTCCTTCTGTCTGCTTCTGGCGCCCATCTCCCGGCAGGAACCAGAGCCTTCCACCCACGTCCTTGCTCCGGCCGGGAGAGAGAGCTGCTGCGGAGGAAAGTAGCCAGGAGTCACGCGGCAGAAAGAGCTATGCGCCACGTGCAGAGCCGTGCTTTCTCACACCTGGGGGCCACGCTCGGTTCCCGCCGGCTCTAGCGCGGACGCACGCGCCCGGGGTCAGTGGGCCGCGAGCCTGGCTCCAACCACCGCTGCAAAACTGCTGCACGGTTCGCGTAGAGGTGGAAATTCTTCTGCACCCCAATGGGTTAAGTTCCGGGACAGTTCCCTGTTCCCTGCCTCTCTCTGGGGCCGTCTCCTTTTCCCTCCCTCCCCCGTGGACGGGGAACGGAGCAGGATTTACAGTATCAGCAATTTATCTGCAATAAAAAGTGAAGCCTCCTTTAGCTGCATTAATAGCTAAAGAGGCCGAGCCGTGCCACACATATGAAGTGGAGCCGGCCCAGGGCTCCGCAGGAATAACAAGCAGGGCCCGCAGGGCTCCGGCTTCGCCTTCCGTGTCTAGTTCACGGAGCCGGCGCCCGTTACCATTCCTTGACCCAGACACCCCGCCGGGCATTTTGCCAACGGCTCCGTCCTCCTTCCCATCCCTTCCTCTTTCTCCTGCGGAGTCGGGCAGGGCCTGGCCGGCCTTGCTCTACCCCCGCCTCACGTCAGGATGGCCGAGGGGCCTCACAACGCCCCCCCCCGCTCGCGACCTCGCCTCCCGGGCTCCGCGCTCCTCTCCCAGAGCCACGGCAGCCAGGATTTCCACAGCCAGGCCCGGCCGCTCCTGTGGCTAGAAGACAACGCAGGCATCTCTGAGGACCTGGTGGGGGCAGACAGATGCCCGGGAGAGAGAGAAGAGAGAGACAGACAGACAGACAGAGAGAAGGGCTGTGTTTCCCGGTAGAAATGGCCACCGGCCCAGAGGCTTGAAGTCACATCTGATAAACAGGGGGTACTCGGGGTCACGGAAGCACACTCGGATCAAGTGCTCAGGACACCGGCCCCGGCAGGTTCCACTGGACACCGACATCCGCACCAACGCTCTTGCTTTCCCCGGGCTGTGCTGGGTCCTCAGAGCCACTTTCCCAAATTATGTCATGGGACCCATCAACTCCTACAGCTAATTCTGTAGCTAAATGCTTTAAAAAAAAGAAGAAGAAGAAGAAGAAGAAGAAGAAGAAGAAGAAGAAGAAGAATAGAAGGTGTCAGCAGGGAATGGTAGTACACACCTGTAGTCCCTGCTGCTCAGGAGGTGGAGTGGAGGGAGATCGCAGCCAGAGGCTGGCCAGGGGGGAAGCATGAGAACCTCACTCCCTGGCACCTCAGCACAAAGCAAAACCAAACAGGCACACACAAGCTGCAGGGGACCGATCCATCTCTGCCGCACCCGCTCCGCGCCCCAGGATGGAAGGGCAGGAGGCCGAGAGGACCCTGGCGGCCTTCTGCCTTCGCGCGGAGGCCTCGGGGCCAACCGGTTGCAGTACAAGGGCCAGGGGTGGCTTGTCCCCATCCTGTCACCGTGGTGACATGTTTTACAAAGCCCCGTCTACAGGGGACGGTGTGGACAGGCCCCCTCCCCCCCGGGGGTCTCACCAGGGACAGGATGCCGGCGACTTCCACGGAGCTGCCACCGGAGCCACCGGAGCGGGGGACATCGCTTCCCCCCTCCCCCCCAAGGCTGCGGGCTGGGTGTTCGCGTCCGGCAAATCTAACCTGCCCCATCCTAATGCTCTCCCCGTCATGGCGGACGGGAAGAGAGGCCCTGAGTCGCTTGGGTCAAGATGGCGGAACTCTCGCCAAGGAGACTGGCGACCTCGTAAAAGTGACTCTGGGGAATCTTCTAGACACTTCTACCACGGACTACAGCAGGAAGAGAGCCGCCTCGGAGCCTCGCCAGACCCCCACCTGCCAGCTCTCAGACCTCGGAGGAATCTCGGCGACTCTCTCGGCCGCATGGCCGCGGTGTCTTGAGCCGGGTTTGGATGCGGGTGTAATCCAGCCCCGCTTCCCTGCGTTCGCTCCTCTGTCTTACGGAGCCTAGGACCCCTCCCTCCTCCTTCGGGGTGTGCGGGAGACAAAGCAATAGACGCAGGACGGAGCCGCGTTCGCGGAAGCCAAGCTGCTCCATAAACACACGGCGCTGCTGCTAGCTTCCCTCTGCGAACCTCCGTGCCTTCACCCCTCCCCGGCTCCCGCGTCCCCGGCTCCCGCGTCCCCGGCCGAGGCCTGCGCCGGGGCCCAGCCCGCTCATGTGCCTTCACAGACTTCTCTAGAATTTTCTCCCTGGTCCTTCCTGTTTCTTTGACAAGCCCTGGTGGAGCTCGTGCCGCGTCTGACTACCTAGAAAATCACCTCTGCTGCTTTTTGCTTGGCGTGAGGACCCGCGCGCCGATCCGTCGTCGGTGGGGTCGCTGCCGAGCGGCTGGCACGCAGCTCTCCCCCCACCTGGCCTGAACCCTGGGCCCCACGCATCCTGGGGGGATGCCCCACCTGCCTGGCCGCTCTACACCACCTCAGAGCTCGGGCCCTGAGTCCCCCTGCGACCGTGTCTGGGCTCCGGGCTAACCACGTTGCCAGCACTCAGCTTCTTCCCTAGGACCCAGCACAGGATCTGCAGCGCATAGAAGGTAGTGCTGGTCAGAAGGGCTGGAGGAAGGAAAGGGGGTGCAAGGCTGGAAAGGTTATTGGGGTTCTACAAACTCAGGCGAGCACTTGAAGCAGGGAGGTCCCTTCCCCCATCTACCCCGCCCCCCGCCCAAGCCCTGGCCACAGCCAAGGATCTGCTTGATCCTCGCCGAGCTGGCAGTGGGGCGGCTGAACTGGGCACCAGCACCCCGTGTCTGCGTCTCTGCCGCCCCATCGCCAGTCTGGAGATGAAAGGCACTGAAGGGAGAGGGCCCCCAATCCTCCCCAAGCCAGCTGCCGCCCAGAGACAGGTGAACCCCCAATCCTCCCAGAAGCCAAACAGCACTTCATCACAGACTGAACACCAAGGAAAAGCGACAATTCTCCTTTATGTTAATAAATTGCTTTGGCTTGGAAGAGCATGAATCAATGTCTTCCCAAAGCACAGGCTCTGCTCTGTCCTCCGACAGCGACTTCTCTGGCCTCGGATGGAAAGCCACTCCCCGTCCCCAGAGCTGTGGGGCAGCCCGGGGCAGGCGGGGGCAGGCGGGGCTCCCGGATCCCTGTCGTTACCCGGTGACCCCTGTGGCGTCTCCATAGAAACAGAGAGATGCTTTCTTCCCTGAATGTACACTGGGGAGGGGAGGTAACACAGCAGGCTGAGAGCAGGGAGAGTGCTCCCTTCCCCCACACGGAGGGGGGGGCAGAGGGCTTTGCCAGCCCGGGGGAGGGGGCAGAGGGCTTTGCCAGCACGGGGGGGGGGGGAGCGGGGGAGGGGCTGCGCCGCTGCACCCCCAAGGGCCAGCTGGGCCAGCCAGCGGCTAGCCATACGGCTTCGGCCCAGCCCGAGAGCCCTGTCCGGGCCTCTCCCCCCAGTCCCACTTCACCCCGGATCTGGAGGCCATTTCTGTTTTCTCTTCTGGCTCTTGGCTTCCCAGGCCTGCCAATTCTGCATACCTTCTGCCATTCGCCAGAAATATGTTTTTCTAATAGGTGCTGGGGCACTTGTAAATCTCGATACACTCGGGGGGTTGTTTGTTATTGTTGGAGTTAAGACGGCAGAACCTGAACGCATAGAGGAGTGTATTTGGATAATTTGGCAGGCATCTGGAGAGAAAGCAGCGGCGCATTTTAAAAGCATGAATCACCTGCCCTTGAGACTGGGAAGTCAGGGCCACGAGGCCGGGATCCAGGTCTGTCCATCAGCGTAACCTCGCACAGGGCTGGGCTCAGAGCAGGTGGAGGCCTTAGTGGGTGGGCCGGATGGATGGACTAATGGACAGACAGAAGGAAAGAAGAATGGATAGATGGAAGCATAAACTGAGAGTGTAAGGACCGAAGGATGGATGGATGGTGGATGGATCGATGGATGGACAGAGGGGAAGACTGACAGAAGGATGGATGGGGGAAAGGATAGATGATAGGTAAATGGACAGGTAGAAGGACAAGGGATAGATGGACAAACGGACAGAGAGAAAGATGGGGTGAGATGCCCTCTCCCATGCGGTATGGAAGGCCCAGCACAGGCAGGAGATGGACGATCTCCTCGGCTCCATCTGTTCTCCATGGTGAAGGTGGTCTCTCACACAGGAGCTGGGGTGACGGGGAGCTGTGTGTGCCCCTGGTCCCAGCGGGGAACCAGAGCCTGCACCTCCTGCTTGGGATCCCTTCCCTGCGCAACGCAGAGGCTGCTGGGACCCGCCCAGTCTCTGCCCCCTCCTTCCGTCTCCGCGGGGGGGGGGGGGAGGCGGAGGCGGGGCAGACAGAGGCCCCTCCCCCAAGACGAGCCAGGCCGCTGGCGGGGGTGGGCGTGTGCCCCTGCCCGTGACCGGGCACAGGTGGGCTTTGGCGAGGAGACCCGGGGTCCCCACCGGGGTCCCCACCGGTGCGGGTCGGCGCGGGCTGCCTGAGCGGAGCCACGGGGCCCTGGTCCGCCACGCCTTCCTGGGCACCCGGGACGGGACCAGCCTGTGGCGGTTGCCCACTCGGTGTTTGTAGGGCGGCGGTGTGCTGCCCGTGCACATGCTCCCCGTGCTCCTCCCGCGGGTGACCCAGGCTGCTGCTTGGGAACGGGGGTGCGGCTCCCATGTCCTACGGCTGCAAGCTGCGGCGCCTTGCTCTGGAACACACAGCCTGTGTTTTACCCATTCTATAGGGCACCCTGCCAGGATTGTCCTCCTCCACAGAGAGGACTGGGGAGGGGGGGAGGGAAGGGGAGGGGGAGGGGGAGGAGGGAGGGGGGAGGAAGGGGAGGAGGATGCAAGTAAGAACCTGGGCAGCGCGTATCCAAAGTACACGAGTGCGATGAGGAGCTGCACTTCCCAGCCTCCCCGTGGCACCATGGCCGCCCTGCCCTTCTGTCACTTGAGCTCAAGGACGAGGCGCCGCCCGGCTGCGCTTGTCACCTGGGAGTGGTGATTTTGTCTATCAGCCGCGCTGGCTCTGATCCTCGGTGCAGGGAGGGGACACGGGGGGGGGGGGGACCCAGAAATGGCAGGTGGCCCTTCAGACAGCTGTTTGCGGGCAGGCGGGGTAGAAAGGCCTCAGACAGTCCCACTGCGTGAGCAATCTCCTCCCCCCCAGCGGCATCTCCTCTTCCTCCGGGCTGAGCGAGGAGGAGCCGGGACTTGCTCCTGGCCTCTCCACACTGCCCAGCTTCGGGTCTTTAGACCTCTGCGAGCCCCAGTGTGAAACCATAACAAATCCGTCTCCAGGCTCAAGGCCCAGCCCCGCACACGCCTCCTGAAGTCACCCCCAGGAAAGCTCCTCCACCCCTGCCCGGCCTGTCTAGAGGATTCCTTTTTTCCTGGTGGGTTCTTCGGGCCGCAGGGTAAAGCAGGGTGAAGGCTCCCCAGGCCAGCTCAGGGTGAGCAGGGATGCCCGCTTCCCACAGGCCCGGCTTCCAGTCCCCTCCAGTTCTACAACCTGCTCCTTACTGACAGAAGGGAGGGAGAGTCGGCCCGATGCCACCGATCGACGCTTTGAAACAGGCACCGCATGGGCAAAATGAAGGGAGGGGGGGGGCCGGGCGGCCGTGGAGGGACGGCGGGTCAGTCTGCGTGGAGGAACTCGGGATGGAGAGGCAAGCCCGGGCCAAGGCTCGGTCTGCAGCGCGTCCAGGGTGCAGCGACACCTGCCGCCCGAGGCCGCCGCCGCCTGCTTTCCATCTCCCAGCTTTGCACACGGCAAGCCCAAGTCCTTCCCGCCTCCCATCCAGAGAGGAGGAAACCCAGCCCTGTTCGCCACGCCATCCCCCGTCCCCGCTGGGTCTTCTTCTAGCCGGGCAGCAGCGTGGGTGCGGAACGTGCAAACGCGTCGGCAGGAGGAATGCCAGGAGGCACAGAACCCTGTGTCCCTCACCCCGGGCAGCACACCCCTGGGCCAGGCACCCAGTACATCCCCGCTGCCCGGAGCTCCGGCATAGACGTCATCTGGGAGGAGACAGAGGCTCAGGGAGGCCGCACAGCTTCCCCAAGGCCACACAGCCACCGGATCCCTAAAGATCCAGAACTTTCTCCCGTGACCCCCCCCCCCCCCCGCCCACCCCTGCGGGGCAGGGCTGCCCTGTGTTACTGGGATTTACGTCCTCCCACCTCTCTGTCTTTCAGTGTTGAGTACGATTTTCGACAGCAGGAGGGCAGATTCCACAGAGTCCTGCAGAACCTGGGCCACACGGAGCCCGACGACGACACCCCTTCGCCCCCGAAGTCTCCGGCGGAGGCCCCGGCCCCCGAGAGACAGGACTTACGGAGGAAAGCCAAGAAGGTGAAGAAGAAATGCTTTTGGTGGATCTGAGCCGGGGAGGGGGGGCGGTGCGGCCCTCCCCACGCAGGAGCCGGGCCTCTGCACAGGCCCCGGCCCGAGGGACGTGTGCCAACCCCACGCCCGAGCGCGGGCCGCAGCCGCGCGAGACCGGTGGCCTCCCTGCCACACACAGCCAGGGCTCACCCAGGGCCCCAGGTCCTGCCGTGAGCCCCACTCACCCCAGCCCCACCCCCGCCTACCCTCCCTGTCCTCAGGCCAGAGACACGCATACAGGTGGTCTGCAGTACAGGAATCAGAGGAGGGTCAAAAGCCGGTACCCCCCAAAATAAGATGTTAGAAATGAGCGCTGTGCTCAGCTATTGGTGTACACAAGCAGAACGGCAGGGAGACGGGCCTGAAATCGCCAAATCTCCCCTGTGTGTGTGTGCGCATGCATGTGTACACATGTGTGTATGCGCGTGTGTGTCTGCAGGTGTGGAGAGAGCTCTTCATTTTCAATGAATCTCTTGATCCCAAATTAAAGAGCTGTGAGGGGCCGGGACTTGTCGGGGGCTCACAGGGGTGGGTCTCGGGGAGGGGTCTCGGGGTGGGTCTCATGCACCTCTTCCTGGGGCCCGACCCCACCCAGCGGGGCGGGAAGGAGGGGGACTTGGCTAGGGGCTGGAACTCTCCAACTGCACAGTTCATTTACCCACAGTCCTCAGAGGTCTGGAGACTCCGAGCGATCAGCCCATCTTATCAGTGACAAAACTAAGGCAGAGGCCAACACCCACCCAGCCAGGACAGCCTGCAAGCAGGTTCAAACCCACACAGGGTCAGGCCCAGGCAGCAGGCCAGGCTTGCCTCCATTTTAGGATTGAAGGCCTCTCCTTCCCGAAGCCTGAGTTCTTTAAGGTCTGCTTCTGAGGGGTCCTCCACAGCAGCGGCTGACGGAACCTGGCCTGGGTGGGGGAGGAGGGCCTGTCACCCAGCCGTGAGTCCACGTGGGTGAACTGACCCCACTGTAAACCGGGAGTGACTGAGCGAATCACCCAGTGAACCCCCCCCCCCCACCTCGTGCTGTGGTACAGTGGAGACGAGGGGAAAGCCCATCCCATCAGAGCAAAGATAAACACACTTGCCATCCTTAAGAACCCACGTTTGAATACGATACACCTCCACCCGCTTCCCGAGGCCGTGCAGTCCCCTCCCGGCCCGCCCACCACGGGCAGAGCACCACTAATCCGAACGAAGCAGCGGCGTTTGGGGTCCGGGAGGCGGGCTCACGCTGCCGGGGAGCCTCTGTCTCAATGTGCGTGCTTGCACCCCGTCATTAGCCTGGCATCGGTCTGGATTGGGAGTGACCCCCACCTGGTCCCAAGGAGGAGGGCCAGACAGGGGTGCAGCCTTCCTTCCACCCCGGGGCGGCCGGTGGGACCGTCCAGTCTGGGATGGGGGTTGCAACGTCTGCCCCCCTGCTGTAGACGCTCAGAGCCCCTTCCGCTGGCAGTGGAGACCCTCGGAGGCCGGGCTGGGGCCTCTGCCCGCCGAGGGGAAAAGGGGTGAGGAGAGGAGGGCTGAGGCCGCGCACAGGGAGAGCTGGGCGCCCGCATGAATCCGCAAATGAACGCGATGAGACCAACATCCATATTTCCAGTAAGGAAACCAACCAAGGCTGTCGCCAAAGCCCGGCCGGCGCGGGGCTGCGGATCCGAGGCCGGGAAGAGGGGATCTCTCCCAAGCACCGCCTCGCTGCTGGGCAAGCAGGATCCCCTCCGTGTTTAAACAGATATATGTACACCCAAAACTTGTTATTTATCCACTCCTCTTTGTAAAATACATGTGCCATCTGCCATCACTAGCACCCACAGAGAACGCTTTCCTGGAGGTTGTGTGGTTTGATGGGGAGAGATGAATTGAGCAAAAATTACTTTTAAAAAACTGAAGGGGAAAGGACCTCGCGACCCAGCGGGGTTGCGGAGTGGAGCGTAGTGCTGCTACAAGATGCTTTGTCCCCAGGGCCTCCTCAGAGACAATGTACGTACTGATGCCGGGTTTTGTAAATTTCTAAACTGTTTTAAATGGGATATTATCTTTTGCAATAAACGTACATATTTTTTTTTCCTAGTGGTTTTAAGGCTCCTTTATTAGCGTGGACGGGTCAGGGCTGAGAAAGTTTAAACCACTAGGAAAGTTTAAAGTGTTGCTCACTGAGTGTGGTAGTGCATGCTTGTAATCCCAGCACCCCGGAGGCTGACACGGGAGGGTTGTGAATTTGAGACCAGCCTGAGGCTACCGAGTGGAAAAATAGCCCCCCAAAAAGGGGAAGAAGGACACCTCCGTGGTGAGGGGAGGGGTGGGCCGGTCACCCTGGCGTGGACACATTTCTCAGGGATCAGGACTCCATGCACAGTGCTCCCACAGAGAGCCGAGCCCAGCCTCCTTCAACGGGAGACACTGCGTGATGTTTGCCAGGTCGCCAGCTTGTTCAGCGTTCTTTTAACATTGCCTTCCGCTCTCTCCTTTTCCTTGAAAGGTACCTTTGAGCCACACGTGCCAAGAAACCCAGTATTGTGTCCTCCAAACATTAGGTGGAATGAAGGTCGTGGGATTACGTTCGGGGGTGTTCTAGAGGCTTTCCTACCAGGGTGTCTGAGAGCGCGCCGAAAAACGCTTTCTCACGTGAGCCATTCTTTCTCCTGCCTGCCTTGCCCCTGAGCTATCTACAGACCATCTGATTTATACTAGAGTGTGAGACTCCCGCTCTGGGAAATGCTAATTTCCTGCACAGAAAAAAAGGACAAAATAGAACCAAGGACAAAAAGTCAGAAATCCTGGTGCGCAGGGCCGACCATCCCCTCCCTCCCCTCCCCTCTCCTCACCCTCCCCTCCCCTCCCTCCCTCCCCTCCCCTCCCCTCTCCTCACCCTCCCCTCCCCTCCCTCCCTCCCCTCCCCTCCCTCCCCTCCCTCCCCTCCCCTCCCTCCCTCCCCTCCCCTCCCCTCCCCTCTGTGGCCTGGATGGCCCACAAGGCTGATTCTCCCCTTTACAAGACAACTGCTCATGATGAAATGTCCTGAACATTAACCGGGGGATACAGCAGGTGCCAAACACGTGTGCGCACGCGCGTGCACACACACACACATGCGCGCGCACACGCTTGCTCGCTGAAGTGAACGGAGAGAACAGGCCTACGGCTGGGTCAGACACAGGCGTGAGTGCCAGGACCACGGGCCTTCCAGAGAACGCGGCGGGGCCTGAGCAGACGCGTGGCCGGGACGCAGAGGACACGGCCTGGCAGGGGACCAAGGACCCCAGCGGGGAGAGACTCCGGGAGCCAGTCCCCCTCTGAATCAGCACCACAGTGACAGCATCACCAGGTGACAGCACCACAGAGCAACAACCCCCCTTCACCCTCCCCCACCCCCGCAGGAAGCCCGTGCCAGGAGCCCAGCCCCCCCACCCCCGCAGGAAGCCCGTGCCAGGAGCCCAGCCCCCCCACCCCCGCAGGAAGCCCGTGCCAGGAGCCCAGCCCCCCCACCCCCGCAGGAAGCCCGTGCCAGGAGCCCAGCCCCCCCACCCCCGCAGGAAGCCCGTGCCAGGAGCGTCTGGGCTGGTGTGGACCTGTTATCCGGACATTCTGGGGACCACTGAGCTCGTCCTGAGCCCCCTTCCCGCCTTCGTTAGCTCAGCAGAGCTCCCAGTAGAGTCTGTGTTTGAAAAGGCCCTGCTTTCCCTGCCCGCAGCAGCTGGCTGTAAGCACGGTATGCTGAGAGCGTATTTCTCAAGTTCCAAGAAACAAAGATGTTTTATGATCCTGACGCCCATCCAGCAGCAGAAGGCCGGGCACACGTCCAAACCTACACTGTATCTGGTGCCGGCCACGTGGGGCCTGGCAGGGCCAGGGGACAGCCGCCGCTCCCAGCTCCCGCCTCCCCGCCCGACACGGGCCCCCGCCGGCCCTCTGGCCCTGCTCAGCCTCCCTGGCTTCCTCCTGCCCCGTGGTGCCCAGCTTCCTTCAGGGGCTCAGGCCTCTCCCCTCCCTGCCTGGAACTCCCACACCCAACACTCACTCTCCAGCCCTGAACCACACCCAATACCCTCCCGGCCATTCTGCAGACACAGGGGACCTGGCCCGGGTGGGTGGGTGGGTGTGTGGGTGGCTTCCCCGAACTTGCACACAGGTCTGCGTCATTCCTTGCTGAGTCTGTCTCTCTCTAATTAGCCTGGACCTTCCCAGGCCGGGAATCCGGCTTATTCTTGCTTCCGCATTCCCAGCCCTCCCCACTGGGGCAAATCGGGGCTGCAGGAATAAATTAAGGAGGAGATTGGATCCTGCAGCCAGGAGGCCAAGCAGGACCCCAACACTTCCTCTCCCAATGTCCCCACCACAGAGGGGGCCAGGCCCGGCCTGGGGCGCACACCCCGGGCCCAGGGAGAGGCTCTCCAGCAAGGCCCATGCCCCAGGCTCCCAGCGTCCGCCCTCCCAGGCCGCCGACCACAGGACCCCGCCACCCTTCCCCACATCTCCGTCCCAAAGGGTCACAGTCTGGCTCAAACCGCTTCCCTAATACAATGTCATCGTAATTAAATCCCAAATGCATGCTGCACATTGTGCGGAAATACAGCCCCGCTGCGGGTGAGCGAGAGAAAATGAGTTCTGAGATGAAAGCAGATTGTTAACTATTCTCACTGTGATGTTTCCATTACCGTGCCAGCCTTTATTCCGTGTGACCACTTCGGCCGGACGGGGTCTGCCGAGCAAGGAGCGGTTTTAGGCAGAGCCATGTACCTTTGTGTCCCCCCATGATTAACGTGAAAAGACAATGAAAATCACACCTTGGGGTGAGGTGGTCCACAACAAATATAAGCTTTCTTATCACAGAAGGCTTTGTGCAAATTTGCAGAGCCTAGAAGTGTGTTGTATTAAACTCCACTCAAGTGACATCCATCCTCTTCCTCCTGACCAAACCTCCCAAAAATGCACCTTCTCTGAGCAGCTGTCCATAGTGGTGGCCTTGCTGGGCTGCAGGTAGCACAGCCCCGCGGAGA